ACCATTCAAAAGCCAGAGCGAGTCCAGACGTTCAGCGCCTCAATGGTTGTAGTTCAGGGCTGGGCAATTATTTTGGGTGGAGGGCTGCTTACTGAGCTTTGGCAAGCCATCGAGGACCGCATGACAGGCAGCCAGGGGCAGATTAATATTTCCTAAATTTTTTAGGCGGCCCGCGGGCCAGATAGGATGTCCTGGCGGGCTGCATCTGGCCCACGGGCCGCATTTTACCCTGTTGTAGCTTGTTGCAGAGAACAGCAGGTAAGAACTGCTGCTGACTGCCAAATGCCTCAGCAAGGGTGCGTTTGTCAGGGTGATGTCCCTTAGCCTTTCTCCAACCAAGGAGTACCCACAAGGCGATGGGGGCTAGGGTTTTGAGGTGCCCTATGCTCGCCTTACTCTGGAGGTTGCAACACTGGCTTTTTAATAGGAACTGCCCTGCCATGCATTTCCCTGTCACATTTTCACCCAGCCCTCCAGTTAGATGGGACTTACAGTCCTACCCAGGACCCTAGTATCTAGGACACCAACTAATATCTGTAGGTGAAGGAATATGTTCCCTTTGATTTTATTTTTATTTTTCATAGAAACAAATACTTAATTGGAATGTAGTTAAACCATATGCTCGACGCTTCTGAATTAATGCCACTTTCTTAAATTCTAAAGTTATTTCTTCCTTTACCGTGTCCATTTCAGGAATTAGCTCTGATTGGAGGATGAATGTAGCATGATCCATTGAGACTTTATCAAAACAGAAGCTATTATGTTAATTTAAGTCATAACACTTTGACCAATGGAAACTGTTTGCACTGTGTCAAATAGAAATACATATGGAAACTGATTTAATTTTCAAGCACAGATTAAAATGTAACATTGTTTACCATCTCAGATCTTTGCCTGTCACTTCCACTTATCATTGTCTGTTGTGCTGATTAGTATTGTTTCACTGTTTGCTTATTCTTCCGAATGCTTATGACAGACAGGCATTGTCATTTATCTAAAATATCTGGGGCAGCACCCAACTGTACAGTACCTAGCCAGACTCTGGCTTGTAACTGGGAGTCCCGGTGCTGCAATAGCACAAGTAATAAATGCAACACCTTTTGCTACATAACAATGGCGTGGCAGTCTAATGCATTCCTGTAGTTCAAACCAGCTATCTCCTTAAGTCAGAGTCAGTGCTTCCTTTAGTTTGAGGAAGGTAGCCAGGAGTAGGAGTGTTGCTGCTTTCCCTTGAAGTGGTTTTTACTTTATTTGCATAATTGACCCATACAGGGTGAAACAGGTGAATAAAGTAGCCTGTTGAACTTGCATGACCTGTTGTTACGATCTAAAAATCATACAGAAGTCAAGCCTAAGAAATTCACTTGTCAAAACCTGTCAAGGATATCAGAAAAGTTGTTGGGGCCAAAAATAAAAATGCCTTTTTCAGCTCTAGTGTTTCTGTTTTATAAAGGGGTATGAGGAAGCTATCCTTCATTGTTTTTTTTTCTTTGTTTTTTTAAACCAAAGGAGGAATGAAAAACTACATGCCCAATGATGAAGCCTAGATTTATCAGTGTAAAATATTAAAGTACCTCAGTTAGATGATGATTATAACAAACACCTTGGGCGCATCCATACGAGTGGGCACATGCGTTTCCCCAGGGACAAAGAGCAGCAGCACATATTTATGCCACTGCTTGTCTCCAGGGAATGCCCCTACGTGTTCACTCTGGTGTGGGGCAAATTGCCCTGGATGGTGTAGGGGAGGCTGGGGCCAGCAACTGGGCTGGCCCCAGCAGCCTTGTTTTGGGGGCCTCCCAGGACTGCGGCAGAGATGATCCGGGTGTGTGGAGCCTGGCTGGCAGCTGGAGCCAAGGCCCTTGCCAGCTAGGTTCCAGGTTCGGGAAGCTCATGCTGCTGTCATGTGCACCACCCTGTTTTTTTGGCTTGATACCAAGATTTCATGGTATCTAAACTTGTCCCTGTGCTGCAAATATGCAGTGTGGAGAACCAAATCGCATGCATGGGGTGCATTTTGCAGCTATTCAAAAGCTTTGGGGGCACTGCAAATTGCATGTGCGCGCTTGTGTGAACGTGCCCCTTGAGGCTTCTTTTCGGTGTTGCGGAAAGGGTTTGTTCCACAATGTCAGGGTACCTTTAAGAGGGGCATGTCACTTTGTGCATCCATTGACTCGTTAGTCTTTGAGAGTGGTTCAGTTGATGAAGACGTTAAGATGTAGTCCTTTCTTTGATTAAAAAAAGTTGCATATCTTGTTTTGTTAACTTTTTCCTTTTGAGGATGGAATTCATATCCCTAACTTATTTCCATATTTATATAGTTCATCCTTTAAATGTGTGCCCCATCAAGCATCCTGGAGGGTAAGGTATACCTCAGGTTTGCTACTCAACAGAGGTAAAATTGTGGAGTTAGAAGCTGTGGAACTGCGCCTTATTTTCAACAGGGACAAAGTACAGCGCATTAGAATAAAGTTTATAGATATTTATGGAGTAGGAGAGAAGATTTAAGTACAATTAGCTAGCATTAGTGTCCACTTGTTTACTTCGAAGAAAGAATGTTTGCTGCCAGTCGATTTCAGATATTACTGTGATAGAAGCTGCGTAACTTTGACTTTGTTGTCTGCGTAAGAGGAAATCCAGTTGCGCTTGCATATAATGAGTACAGGTGTCATGCTTTCTGTATTTGGACAAATGCAGATATGTCCAGAAACTGGCCGGTAAGTGATGCAGAAATCACAAGGCACAGCTTTGGTCTAGAACCTTGAAAGCAACATAGGAGTGGATGGGGAGGGGAGCAAGAAACAACTAAACATGAAGTGCTTGCTGACATTTGAAATGTCACTTAAATTTTGTCACCAAAACAAAGCGTTAAGCACCCAGTAGCCTTCCTGAGCAGTTGTGTTGGTTTAGTACTTCTATAACTGGGCTAGCTGCTAATGTACAACTTTTAAGCCCAGAAACCTGGAATCTTTGAAGCCTATGGCCAGTTTTGCAAAAGCTATGATCAATCTCCTCCAATAGTTTCTATAGGTGACTGAAAACAGATCCATCCTTCATTTTCCACCTCTTGGTTCTTCATGTATGTCTTGTCCATTTAACATTAACGATTAAGGCCTTGCCAGTATTGTAGGCTATCAGTTACCAGTCTTTAATAGAAAAGACAGCTCATCCTTTTTATACAACCGTTCTTGAGTCTTCAGAGTACATTTTTCCCAGTGATCTTTTTTAGGCTATTTCCTTTTACCAGGTAATGGATTGTATCCTACTCATTTTTATTTATTTATTTATTTTTTTCCTGGAACTGGAAACTGAGCCATTAGGCTTCAGTTCTCACTTCATGGAACTGGAAACTTTATTGTGCTGCTGCCGTTGGGTAGCTAATATTTAAAAAACTAAATGTTAACTTTTTACTAGCTTCTAATGCAGGGGTGGACAATTATTTTGGCTGAAGGGCCTCTCTGAGTTTTGGCGAGCTGTTGAGGGCCACAAGGGTAGCCCTACCCCCTCATCACAAACTTCTGGCTGGAAGTCCTGCCCCTAACCCCTCCACTTGCCCCTCAAAGTACTCCTTTTGGGCAGGGGGGGGTGGGGGATGCCATCTTGGAACCAGAAGAAAAACCAAATCATACTAAAAAGTCAAACATCTACTATAACATGCTTTAATTTTATTTTAAAAAATAGTTTTGTCATGATTTGTGTTTATGTACTATATAGATAATTATATAATAGTTCAAAAATAAAGTCTTACTCTATATTGTGTGTGGGGTGTGGTTGGGGTGCATGGGGTTTGTGAAGGGGTGTGACTGTGTATGCTGGGGGTGTAGGGCTTGTAGGGTGTGTGTACGGGTGGGGCAGGGTGTGGCTGTGTGGGAGCAGAGGGTGAAGAGGTGTAGGGACCCCCCACACACTCCTCCCATGGTACACAGCTGTCACCAGTGGCAGCAGCAGTCAGCAGTGGGCCCTCTGGGTGCTTGTGGCCCGCACACGTGCTGCCACCCAGCAGCATGCAGCTCCAGCCAGTTCTGGGAGCTGCACATGGTGGCAAGGAGTGGAGTCAGACAGGCCCTCTAGCACATGGGACTCCCTGTGATGCACATGCAGCTCCTGACACTTGCATGCTCCCAGGGGGAAGCCCCACACGATGGGGCTGGTGGCCTGGCCCTGCTCCCTGCCGCCACGTGTAGTTGCTGGGACTTCCCTCCACTTCCAGCGAAGGGTGCCAGGAGCTGCACATGCACCGCAGGGAGTTCTATGCAACAGAGGAGTGCCAGTCTGGCTCCACTCCTTGCTACCATCTGCCACTCCCAGAACTAACCAGAGGTGCAGACTGCTAGGTGGCTGTGCTGCCACAAGCAACCTGAGGGACCACCACAGGCTGCTGCTACTGCTGCTGGGGGCAGGGGGCTGTGCACTGTTGGGGAGTGTCTGGGGGCGTGTCTCCATACCTTCCCCCTGCCCTCCCTTACACCCCACACATCCATCCCCTGCCCACCTGCGCTCCCTTTGTCCCCTTGGGTAAGGGCTCTGTGCTCTCACCAGCCCCACACTCCATGCTTCTGTGCACTTGCAGCTCTGCTGCCTCCACTGCTCCCCACCACTTCCCTATATGCTACAGCAGGGACAGGAGGAGGAGATACTGGAGGCTGGGGAAGCTGAGCAGGTCCCCCAGCAGCTGCAGCAGTGGCAGCTGCAGCCCTGCCCAAAAACTGCTGGCTGGACTGAGCCCTTCCTCACAAGGGTAGCAAGGCATGTGGGCTGGGTGGATACAGTTAATTACTGGGCACCTATAGGCTGGATGAAATAGGCCCTGCAGCCCAAATCCGGTCCACCAGGCTATTTTGGCCACCGCTGTTCTAGTGTCCTATACCTTGGTTTTTGCTAAAAGAGATGACTGAACTTGAAAATGCACTGTTCCAGACCTTTGGCTGTTTTTAAGCTACTAGCAATTTTACTAACAGAGAACGCTCCATTTCCAACAGCAGTATTCCAGGAGATGGCTTTAAGTTTTCTCTTGAGCTCTCTATAGAGTTAGGAGCCCTATTGCACAAAAGATGAGTTGTGAATTTAGGATAGTTCACAATCTGCTTTTGAATTGGAACTGACTGTCTCGCTTGGCTTTCTTCCACATCAATTCTATTCTCTTCTGAAAATAATTGTTTTCTGCTGTGTGCACATTGAGAGAGAAATGTTAAGATAATAGTTTCTTATCTCTTCTGATCCAATTCAAATTTTTCCTTTCACTAAAAAAATGACAAAAGTCTGTGGTAAAAAGATGAAAATTGATTTAGCACTTTTCAGGATGGGTTTGTCCTTGTCACAAAAGAGAAGAAACACAGAAGAAGAGTCATTTTTGGGGGAGTTTCCTCCACAAGCAAGGCTCTGTCTTCTGAGACTAAAACCTATCCTGCTACATATGGCCTTGGCAACTCCAGCTTTTGGATGTTGCCTATCACCTGCAGATAGGTTGTAAGCATGTCAGACAGACAGATGAAATACCAAGCATAAGTGCTTTTAAAGAAACCTGTAGGATATGTACCCAAATGTCAAGGTATGTGAGCTGGTCCTGGAATAACGGTAAATGCTGACATTTATACCTTTGCTGGTAAACATGCATCTGCCCTTGTGCTTTTAGTGTAAGGCAGTGGTTCTCAACCATTTTAGATTCAGGGCATTCCTCTATAACTTTTTGTGAAATGAGTGGCAAATTAAAAAAAACCCTGTTTATATATAATCATTGCAAAGGGGCCATGCTGTGGGGATGGGGGATTGACCTGTCAGGGACAACCTTGAGCCTGCCCTTCACACCTCACTTTACCTCCTCACACATGCCAGCACCCTTCGGGAGGTCTGGTGCTACAGCACCCTGGGTGAGAATCACTTGGTTGAGTATCGTGGGTATAAGGGATCGTGATATTTGAAAGCAGAATGCTGCCCTCAGCAATAGGCTCAAAAATGACATTGGTTTACTATGTCATTTACTAGGTCTCAGAAATCTTGGCACTAGTGAATTAGAGTAATGCAGACTTCTCTGAGGAAGGAAGACAAAAATGAGTAGAAATGGTAGAGAAAAGAGGAACAAGAGAGAACAAATAGACAGCAAGCAAGACAACTGAAAAGTAGATGAGCTTCCAAAGGCTGGGGTATGTGTAGCTGACGGGAAACATGTTCAAACCACTCAGCATCCAGCTTCTAGACAGAAGTGAAAGTTACTCACGTTATTGGTTGTCCTTGGTAAATATTATGATCACTGAATGTAAATTTGAAAAAGTGATGAGTTCATTGACCTTGGAGAGAAACTGCCTGTTACGCACATCCTGATACAGACTGGCCTTCAATCCTGAGGCGGTGCTGTGGGGAAAAAGATTGTAAATTGTCAGATAAAAAGCCATCACTTCTAAGCATTCATAAGCAAAAGCTTATTGCTATACACCTTATGGTGGGTGGGCAGCAATGTGCAAACCTATTTTTAGTCCAGGGATAAAATCAAGGGAGAACCTGACACTAATTTTGCAGCTGGGAGTCAGTGCCATGTTTGACAAGCGGACTTGCATGTACAGCAGCAGACGTCTGGGCAAGAAATGAGGCCAGCTTTCAAACAGATGCAAGGATTTGATGCATGCCTAAACACTGTGTTGAAACAGCACTTTCTTGTGCTTTCATTTAAGCTGTGTTTCTGGTTTACCAATGGCACGAGTGACATTGAAACAAAAAGTACAGCAGTTGGCCAAATGGGCCTTAATGCTTATGAACTGAGAGCATCGCTTGAAAACTGCTGCGCTCTGCTTGTTCCATCTTTTCCAACCTCATTCTGCTATTCTTGAACAAGTGGATATTCAATGTGGTTTGGCTTTTTCTCAGTCCTGTAGCAAAACTTTGTTGCCTCTGCACTGTTTTCTGGTATATTACTCTAGGATAATGTCTTCAGCAAGCTCTGTGTTGTTGATTCTTTAACCAGTTGCTACAAGAACTCACGACTGTTAATGATCCCTGTGTAGGATAACATTTGTGACATTAGATCTCCACTAGGCCTCGAGGCTGCTGTCTGAAACCAGCTCCGTTTTGAATTTATTGGTACTCTTAGATATGTACCTGTTACTTGCCTTTAATTCGAGGATTTTTCCAAAGCAAAAGTCCACCTGAGCCTAATGGCTCATTGGGCTAGCGTGGTTAAAATAGTGACTATAACCAGCAGTGCATAAGGGAGCAACATGACCAGCATTGTCACATCACTTTAAACTGTACAGCCTCAGTGATCAGGTACCCGCCTGTAGTCAGCTGTGGACAGACTTCAGCACGAGAGTGGAGTAGGGCTCAAACTTGGGGCTCTGGAGCCCAAACAGTGCATTTTCATAGTACCAGAGCTTGCCCCTGGCCATCCTCAAGTTACAGCAAGGGAAGTTTAGGTTAGGTATTAGGAAGAATTTTCTCACTAGGAGGGTAGTAAAACACTGGAACAGGTTACCCAGAGAAGTGGCGGAAGCTCCACCCTTGGAGGTTTTCAAAAGCTTTGGCTAGGATGACCTAGTTGGGGATGGTCCTGCTTTGAGCAGGGGGTTGAACCAGATGACTTCCTAGGTCCCTTCCACCCCTATTTTCTATCATTCTGTGATCACCCGAGTACTAAATGTGTTGATATTTACAGCAGGTGACTGATGCAGTCAGAAGTATCCTGTCCTGTCCTATAAAAACAGCTTTAACTAGAAAAAAGCAAAAATTAAAGGTTAGCTGGCTAAATAGCTAAAGATATATAAATTTAGATCACTAAATCAAGTAAATGTCAAAGATATTTGTTTTAAAAAGCACGAGTTGGAACTCAGCCTCCTTTGCCATGGTACAGGTCATCTGATTTCCCAAAAATCAGCCTCCCAAAATCGGGGCATGTGTATTAAGCAGGTTAAGCTGATTTTTGACCTGGCATAGAAGCACCCTAGGTCAATTCCTGCTCCACAGTGTAGCAGCTGTTGTGTTACTATTTAGACTGCTGAGGGAGTTGGTTGACCCACCTCCAGAGATGTTGGCAATCACCTTTTTTCCTTTTTAAGTAGGGAAGGGAGGGTGAATCAGCTAAAGATCAGGTTCTAGCTGTGCTCTGTACAGTCATAATCTTGGAACAGCCTTTTGTTCTTTATTCTCGTCTTTCAAAAAACAAGATGACTACTGTCCACTTAGCTATATTAAAACATTACTTCAATCTGGTTACCCATGACTTTTGAAATCCAGACTTTTCACTTTCATTTGTTTACTATTTGAATAGTAATATTCTTGGGGTGTATTGTATGCGAGGAAAATATGGTAAGTTTCCCTGCCTCCAGAGTGTTCCTTCTATTTGCTTTGAGGTGCAGTGGTGTGCCAGTATGAGCAAATTTGCTTCTTATCCAACTTATAAGTTTTTAATTGATGAAGAAGGTAAGACAGAGTGGCACCATGGAGCCTAACTGGTTCAGAGAGGTATGAGCTTGCAGAGGCAACAACCTACTTTGTCGGGTATTCAGAATGGAAATGTTAATGTAGCATCTCAGGCAGTTTCCTCTTCAGTTTTGCCTAATGGTTTGTAAAGAGGCACTAATGTTTGACCAGTTATTGTAGTGACTTAAAACCAGAGTCCAACAGTAACTTAACTGCACTGATTATTATGCAAACACTGTGGCAGTTGCTGGGGTTGTAACTTTGTATTTCTTATAGGTCTCGCGGTGGTGCTGGCCCTGGCTTCCGTAAGAAAGATCTGCCAACAGAACCCCCTTTCACTGCATACGTGGGAAATCTCCCCTTCAACACTGTTCAAGGAGATATTGATGCAATTTTTAAGGATCTCAGTGTAAGGAGTGTACGACTAGTCAGAGACAAAGAAACAGACAAATTTAAAGGTAGGCAAATGTAAAGGTGTGATATTCTATATATAACAGGTGACTAATCAAGTGGTAAGAGTGACTCGTTGTAAGTGTACACTAACTTTGTGGGTTCTCTCTCTTTAAAGCCAGCTCTAGTCTGGCAAATTTAGTGCAACTTTCTTCCTTGCCAGTGACTCGTGTGAGTTTACTAGTGCATGATACATGAATATGAAGTGGCTGATCCCAGAGCATTAATCTATATCCAGAGGTTGTTTGTAGGAAATGGAGGTGATGTGGGTGAGAAGAGTAGAATTTTTGCCCTCTGCAAGGAACCTGGAAATTGAATATTCTCTTGGGTTTTCTTCTGCACAGTTTGCTTGGAGCAGGAAGAAAGCTATGATAGCTATGAAATTGCTAGCAAGGAAGATTCCAGAAGAGGGCAGATAGCACAGTAGTAGGACTGACATTAAAATTAACCTGGTCACACTTTTGCTGTGGCGTTTACTCGCACCTGTTATTGTAGCCCCACCGATGCTACAGTTAATCTTGGAAAATTTGGAAGAGCCAGTCCTTCCTAGGGATGCAGTTGTAAACTTTCTGCTTACCTGTAGAGGCAAAGAAATAAAATCTTTAACCAGATGTGAGAACCCGCAATGTTAAAAGAAGCTAACCTCGGACTTGCATATAGTTGCTAGTAGCCGGCTGTAGCAAAATTACTCATCAGATCCTTTCTAGCACTGGTGTGTATTCTAAAAGCTATATCTTTTGTTTTCTCGAGGGCCTCATTTTTGTAGTGCTTATCTCAGTCACTTCTGCTCTCAGCTTGTTGGTATGGGGATAATAGAAAGTGGGGGGCAATAATAACAGATATGTGGAAATCAGGGCAAATATTTTGATAAAGAAGTTATTTAAAACTGGTACTAACTTTTTAGATTTTTTTTGCAGGATTTTGTTATGTAGAATTCGATGAGGTGGAATCACTTAAGGAAGCTCTTACATATGATGGTGCAGTAAGTATTTAATCCTTAAATGAAAAGATGAGCAGAAGATTAGAACTCTTGGGGAACCCAGTTTGGCCAATAAATACAAGCGTCTCCCCTCTGTTTTTACCAGCTTTTGGGTGACCGATCACTCAGAGTGGACGTAGCAGAGGGCAGAAATAAGGACAAAGGTGGCTTTGGCTTCAGGAAAGGTGGCGGACCTGAAGAAAGAGGTGATCTTCTCTTATTAAATGACAGCTATTGAATGTGCTGAAAGGGTGAGAAATGCTTTTTAAAAAAAGCACACATGGATGAACTTTCTGCTTGAATTGCATGTAGAGCCGATATGATGCTTGTTCCCTTTTAGTTCTGTTATTGTTACTCCTGAGTTTGGTTATAGGATCGAAACTCTGTACTTCCAAGATCTGAATGCATGGTCAGTCCTGGCTCAGACCAAAACCACCAGTGTCATGTAGAGTATAGTCAACAGTCTAAAAGTCTGTTCTGCTACTATTTTTTCACTGCATAGAACAGGGGTAGGCATGTTTTTTGGCCGGAGCGCTGAAAAACACCACAATGTCTACCTTGGAAGGTGCCAGAGTGCCGGCATGGCAGAAAAACAAAATGAGGGCAAGGGGTACATGGCAAGATGCCCTGCTTGTGCCCCCTTGCCCCCCAGCCAAAGCCCCTGCCCCACAGCCTGGGCTCTGTGGCTGCCAGCAGCTACCCCCGCCCCGG